ATACAAAAACAAAATAACAGAAATTAATGTAGATTGAATCCTAATTTGTCTTAATAAAAACATGGAGCCAGATCTTGGGGTAAATCCTGAAAGATCAGAGAGACAAAGGAGCAAACCACAGCCATCTCTTACCTCTCCAACTCCTCAGCCTGAAAAGGGGCAGAGCTTCTGTCTCTGCCTGCCTTATATTCTTCTTTACCCAGCCATATCACTTCCTGTTTCCTCCTCCCTAGTGCTGGGATTAAAGGCTTGTGTCTTCTAAGTACTGGCATCAAAGGCATGAGATTCCAAGTGCTGAGATGAAAGGTGTGTGTCACCACTGTCTGGCCTCTATGGTTAACTAATGGCTAGTTCTGCACTCTGATTTCTAGGCAAGCTTTATTTGTTAGAGCACAACCAAATATCACCACAAATCAATAAGTACTGCTCAGTGATAACTCTTAACATTAATGGTCTCAACTACACAATAAAAAAACACTAACTAGCAAATAGGATAAAACAAATAAACAAAAGAAATAGGATCCCTCCTTCTGATTTATCAAAAAAAAAACATTAATATCAATGTTAGACATCACCTCGGGCTAAAAGGGTACAAAATTATATTCCAAGCAAATAGACCCAGAAAAAAAAAACTTGTTTAGCCATTTTAATATCTGACAAAAAAGACTTCAAATCAAAATGAACCCAAAGAGGCAGGGAAAGACATTAGATATTCAAAAACTTAATCCACCAAGGGCTTATTGAAATTCTAAAACTCTGTGTACCAAACACAAAGGCAATGGAGTTGATAAAAGAAACACTACTATATCTAAAGTCACACAATGACAGAGAGTAAGTTTAATATCAAACTCTTGCCAATACACACCCAATCATCCAGAGTAATTCTGAAACTAAGTGACTTTATAAACCACAGGAACCTAGCAGATTTTGCAAAATATTTCACTCAAACACAAAAGAATATACCTTTTTAACACCTCATGGAACCTTCTCCAAAACCACATACTTGGACACAAAGAAAGTATTAATAGATACAAGAAACTTTAAAGAACACTCTGCATCCTATTTCACCACCATAGATTAAAGCTGGATATCAATAAAAACAGAAATAGCAGAAAGCCTATAACCATGGAAACCAAAAAACTCATTACTGAATGAAAAATCAGTCAAGACAGAAATTAAGAATGTCTTAGAAATAAATGAAAATAAAAACACAACTTAACCAATATTATGGGACACAAGGCAGGTCTAAGAAGTGAGTTCATTGCACTAAGTCCCTACATAAAAATTGGATACATTTCATATTAATAAATGGGACAACATGAAACTGAAAAGCTTATGTATGGTAAAGAAAACCCTCATTCGGACAAAGTGGCAGACTACCAAATGGGTCAAGATGTCTTTTTACCAATTCCACATCTGATAAAAGACTAGTATCTAAAATATATAAATAGGTCAACAAACAGGACAACAAGAAAACAAATAACCCATTTAAAAAAAAATGGGGTTAAGACCTAAACAGAGGATTCTCTAAAGAAGAAACACAAATGGCTGAGAAACACTTAAAAAATGTTCAGCATCTGTAGTTGAAGTTTTCCTGGTCCTACATGGCTCATGGTCAGGACAAATCTCTCTCACCCAAGTAGCCGCTCAGATGCAAGCAAAAACACAAAGACTTATATTACTTATTAACTGTATGGCTGTGGCAGGCTTCTTGCTATCTAGTTCTTATATCTTACATTAACCCATTTCTATAAATCTATACCTTGCCACGTGGCTTGTGGCTTGCCGGTATTTTGCATCATGCTTCTCATTGCAGTGGCTGGCCGTGTCTGTCTCCTCAGCTTTCCACTTCCCAGAATTCTCCTCTCTCTTTGTCCCACCAATACTTCCTGCCTGCCTACTGGCCAATCAGCACATTATTAACCAACCAGAGCAACACATTCACAACACAGAGAACATCCCACAGTAAGCATCATTTGTCGTCAAAACCATTCTCAGATTTTATCTTACATCAGTATAATGGCCAAGATTAATGAAACAAAGTATAATTCGTGCTGGCTAGAATGTGGAGAAGAACACTAATCCATTGCTGGTGGGACTGCAAACTTGTACAACTATGGGAATCAGTGTGGCAGATCTTTAGGAACCTGGGTATAGATCTACCTCGATATCCTGCTATGCCACTCTTGGACATACACACACAGGGTTCTGTAGAGTCCTACTACAGACATATGTCGTCATCCATGCTCCACACTGCTTTATTCATAATACCCAGAAAGTAGAATGAGACTAGATAACTGTAAATGGATGAATAGATAAAGAATGGAACAATGTGTAAGTTGTTGCATTTACACAATGGAATAATACTCAATTATTAAAAAAAAATAAAGATGGAGCTAGAAAAGAATCATCCTGATTAAAGTAACCCTACCCAAAAGATAAATATGATATATAGATATAGAGTAGATAGATATAGATTAGATACAGATAAATATTCACTTATATGTAGATGGTAGCTAATAAGTCTTCAATAAACAGACTGCAGTTCATATAACCTCAGAAATGAAGAATAGAATAAGGGACTGGTAGAAGAGTTGGATCACCTTAGAAAGGGGAAATAGAAGAGATAGTTATGGGTGATTTCAGGGAATGAAATGGGAGGATCAAATGAGTAAAGAGAGTCATAAGGGAGGGAATACATGAAGAGACAGCTAAAATTAAGAGTTATTTGAGGGGTTGAACAGAAAAATTCATCTAGTAGAAGCTTCCTAAAATATGTACATCTATGAAAATAATCTAAATGGAATCACCTAATAACTGGGGAGACAGAGCCTCACCTTAACATTTCTCATCACCAAATGAAGCTTCCAGTTCTGAGGATGGGTTACATCTAATGGAGCTTTGGTACCACAGGAACTGCCAAACAACCAAGGACACTGCCAAACAACCAAGAATATGGCTAAGACTCTCCACAAGCTGATGGTACAACTCTACAGCTGAACTCAACACCTACTCAAATCACTGAACATGGAGGAGTAGAGCCTTCACCCCTACTGATAAGTAGTCAGGGTACTGAAAAGTACTCTGTATGCAACCAGAATAGAAAGGTAAACATCAACCCATCTACAGACCCTTCAATCTACAATGGTGACCTGAGGACAAGGTCTATTAGTACAATAGTGGTGCAAGGCTTGTGGGAGTAACCAACACATATCTGAATCTGATTGGGACCACTCTGTGAGATGGAACTCATTCCTAACATGGCCCATGTAGCCAAGAACCTTAGACTAGCTATGTCAGTGACCAAATACTACTGTTCTGCTAAAGAAACATAACAACAAAATTACTCCTGGTGACATTCAGCTATACTTATGGATCAGTGTCTTGCTCATCCATCATCAGAGAAGCTCCCTCCTACAGTAGATGGGAATAAATACAGAGACCCACAGCTGGACAATGTGCAGAGAGTGAAAGACTTGGAAAGATTTGGTCCTAAAAAGTATGTCTCCACCAACTCTCTCTCCCCTCAGGATCAGGGAACTCTACAGAAAAGGAAATGGAAAGATCATAAGAATAGACAACACCTGGGAAACAAGGCCTTCTTAACATAGTAGGACCAATGCACATATGAACTCACAGAGACTATGGCAACATGCACAGGACCTGCACAGGTCTGGGCCTGATGGGGTTCTAGCACTTAGCGTTGAAGTAGACACAAGCTCACATCCGTAACCCAAAAGCTATGTCCAATTTATAACTTCTGGCAAATGAAAAATTAGTTTTCTCCAATCAACTCTCACTGGGTATATAAACCTCTCTTGAGGACAGGCCCCATGTCCAACAAAAGATGAATAACACAAAATGAATTCAATTGTATTTTTGGGTTTATTTGTTTGTTTTCTCATAATGTATTGTCTGTACAATTTTTTTTTCTGTTTGATTCTTACCTTCTGGATCTTTTGCTTATATGTTATGGTTTCTGATATTTTTGTTTTTAGATTTCTTTGTGTGCCAATGTGACATCTATACATGTTTCTCATGCTTTTTCTTTGGTTCTTTGTTTGTTTTATTCTATTCAGGTGTTTTTTTAATTTTCATTTTATTTTATTTGTTTTTAGATGCTTGTCTTGTTTGTTTTCTAATGAGAGAGCAAGAAAGAATGTAGATTTGGATGAGTGGGAAGGTGGGGAGGATCTGGGGGGAGTTAGAGGAGGGAGAACCATAGTCAGAATATATTGCATGAAAGAAATCTGTTCAATTAAAAAATATAAAAAATATCATATATATATATATATATATATATATATATAGTGTGTGTGTATGTATGTATGTATGTATATATGTATGTATGTATGTATGTAATCCTGAAAAGAAATTCTGTTATAGAAGTAGTGAATCATCTCCAGGTCATACCCCTTACTTCAAAGCTATGATTGGCAGTGGACAACTGCTGGGGAAAAATAATTCTTTACTGAGGATGTCATAACTGGTAATCTTGCCATGCTTCAGTGGATGGCCCCACACCAATGTACATATGGGAAGCATTATTTGGAATGAGTGGTTTATCAAAGACAAGGACATGAAGTTGAGGTAGGTGAGTGATAGGAGAGTTAGATGGAGGAAATGTGGGTGAATACAGTTATATTTCATTGTATACATGTTTGAAATTCTCAAAAAAAATTAAAACTCAAATAAATAAATTTTATGCACATGCCAGTTTTCTAAATAAAAATGTGCTGTATAGCCAGTGTGCTGTTTTCCTGATTGCCATGCAGCACAGATTTTTCCCCCAACAGGTCAATGTTGTAACTGTGTCAATATATTGGGTAGCTCCAACATGGTGACCAACTTATCTGCCTCTGCATCAGCATCATAAAGTTAAAATTATTATAACCGATGGCAGTTCTTGATTTTTGGGGACTGTTTCTCCATTCTTTTTCAGGAATGTATTATAAAAACATGCCTTAGAGATACATGCTGGCCGCCCTCTCTTTTCACAGATTCTGCATTGACTCCAATGTAGCATACATAGAAAACATTTGAAAAATGCATCTGGCTCCTCTCCTTGTCACTATTGGGCCCACACCTCTGGCAGAAGACTCGCCATCACCCAGAGGACAGGCCTGGATCCTGGAGCCTAGGTAATACTGTCCCCCACCCTGTCTGTGCTTGCTCACCCAGCATAACTCAAACTGCCCCTCTTTTCCTCACATACCCAGGACCACACTTCTGGTGGAAGCTTTCTACCCCATCATAGGACAGGCCAGCTCCCTGAAAAATGCATCTGTATTGAATAGTCAGACTTTTCCTTGCACTATAACCCCCAGTTACCTATCATTTCTGTTGAATCTGGTATCATAAGTAATATGACAATAATTATAAGGATATGGGAGGTTACACATGAGAATTGGAAAATGCTATACTATTTTTGTAAAGGACTTGTGCATCCTCATGTATTGGTGCCCTGAAGTTATTCTGGAACCACTTGCCATGGATGCTGAATGATTATGGCATCAAAGATTATATCTTTTACAATGTCACTTGAAAATGTTAAATAATATCTCTTTTCTCAAATTTTCTTTTTTTTCACTTTTTTATGAAATTTATTCATTTATTTTACATCCTGACACCAGTTTTCCCTCCCTCCTTTTCCCCCCCATACCCTTCTTCAACCTCCCTTCTGCCTCCCTCCTCCCCATCAATTTTTTCTGTTTCTGTTCAGAAAGGGGTAGGCCTCATATGGGTGTCAAAAAAGCATGGCATATCAAGTTAAAGCAGACTTAAGCTCCTTCTCTTGTATTAAGACTTGGTAAGGCAACCCTGTATGATGTTACCAAAACATCAGGGATAGGCTATGCTCCCATTGCTAGGAGTGCCACAAGTAGACCAAGCTATACAACTGTCACACATGTGTAGAGGGCCTAGGTCGGTCCCATGTGGGCTCCTTAGCTATCTATCTAGCATCTGTGATCTCCTATGAGCCCAGGTTAGTTGTTTCTGTGGGTTCCCTTGTGATGACCTTGACCCATCTCACTCATTCAATTTTTCTTCATTCTCTTCAACACGATTCCCAGAGTTCCAGGAGCTTGGGCCAGTACCTGGCTGTAGATCTCTGCATCTGATTCCATCAGTTACTGGATGAGGCCTCTCTGCTGGCAAGAAGCTCTCTGATGGCAGCATAGTCAGCAATCTGATTACAGGAGATGGCCAATTCAGGCTACCTGTGCACTAATGCTAGGAGTCTTAGCTGGGGTCATCCTTGTAGATTTGTGGGAGTTTCCCTTGCACCAAGCTTTTACATGATCCCAAAATACCTTCCCCATCAAGGCATCTTTTTCATTACTCTCCCCTTGAGCCCAACCCCAGACCAAACCCTCATGTTCCCATCACCACTCACCCTCAGTGTACCCAGTAGATCTCTTTTATTTCCCCTTCCCAGAGAAATCCATGTGTCTGTCTTTGGGGCCCTCCTTGTTATCTAGCCTTGCTGGGGCTGTAGATTGTAGCATGGTTATGTTTTACTTTATAATTAATATCCACTTATGAGTGAGTTCATACTGTGTTTGTCTTTCATGATCTGGGTTGCTTCACTCAAGATGATTTTTTTCCTACTACCATTGATTTGCCATCAAATTTCCTGATTTCCTTGTTTTAACAGCTGAGTGATACTTCATTGTGTAAATTTACCATTTTATTTATCCATTCTTTGGTTGAGGGACATCTAGTTTGTTTCTAGGTTCTGACTATTACAATAACACTGCTATGAACATAGTTGAGCAAGTGTCCTTGTGGTATGATTGAGCATCTTTTGGGTATATGCCCAAGATTGATATAGCTGAGTCTTGAGGTAGATTGATTCCCAATTTTCTGAGAAACTGCCAGACAGATTTCCAAAGTGGCCGTGCAAATTTGCACTTCAACCAGAAGAATAGGAGTGTTCCCCTTATTCCACATCCTCTCCAATATAGGCTATCATTAGTGGGTTTTTTGTTTTGTTTTGTTTTTGTTTTTGTTTTTTTCCGAGACAGGATTTCTCTGTGTAGCTTTGGGCCTTTCCTGGAACTCACTCTGTAGTCCAGGCTGGCCTTGAACTCACAGAGATCCGCCTGCCTCTGCCTCCCAAGTGCAGGGATTAAAGGCGTGCGCCACCACTGCCACCACCGCCTGGCCGCTTAGCCATTCTGACAGGTGTTAAGATGGAATCTCAGAGTCATTTTGACTTGCATTTTCCTGATGGCTAAGGATGTTGAACATCTAAGAGTCTTTTAGCCACTTGAGATTCTTCTGTTGAGAAATATCTGTTAACATCTGTACCTCATTTTTAATTGGATTATTTGTTCCTTTGATGTCTAGTTTCTTGAATTCTTTATACATTTTGGACATCAGTTCTATGTCAGATGTGGGGTCGGTGAAGATCTTTTCCCATCCTGTAGGCTGCTGTTTTGTCTTATTGACAGTGTCCTTTGTCTTACAGAAGCTCAGTGTCTGTGTAACCAGTGTTCCATTCACAAAGTTATATACCGTGCCAATGCATTCAAGGCTACTTACTTCCCACTCTCTCTTCTCTCTGGTTCAGTGTAACTGATTCTATGTTGAAGTCTTTGATCCACTTGGACTTGAGTTTTTTGTGGAGGATGATAGATATGGATCTATTTGCATTCTTCTAATGTGATCATCCAGTTATGCCAGCACCATTTGTTGAAGATACTTTCTTTCTTCCACTGTATAATTTGGCTTCTTTGTCAAAAATTAGTTGTTCATAGGTGTGTAGATTTATTTCAGTGTCTTTGATTCAGTTCCATTGATCCACCTGTATGTGTTTTTGCCAATACCATGCTGTTTTTACTGCAACATAAGATGCTGAAATAGGAGGTGAGAGTAATTGAATATACTTTGTGGACATTTTGTGATTGAGTAAATTAACAAGTACAAACACTTAGACATGGTAAGTGTAACTGCTGTTTCACTATTGGCATGATTTTTTTTTTTTTACTTAGAAGTATCTTCATTATAATATTGTCTGTTCTTTCACATACATTTTAGAATCAGGTTGATATATTCTATGATATAAAGCATCTCCTGATTTCTTCAGAATTTAATTGTCTATGACATAAGGAAAATTAAATTTATCATATCTACTATTTCTAAATGAATACACTGTGTTTTATCATTTATTTAGATATTCTTTAAAGTAGTATGTATGTCCTAAATAAAGATTTATACTTAATCTTTTAAATTTATTTATTGATCCCTTATATTTTTCTGATAATATATAAAATATAAAGCTCATTTTGGCAATTGTTGTTTGCTTATAGGAATCTGGATGTCATTGAACTTATATATAGACTCTTAACAAATTCTATGAATTTCTAAAAAGTTTCCCAAACTTGATACTTATATGTGTTTTTGTTTTGATTTATTGTTATTAAAACCACAGAGTCTGGAGAGATAACTAAGTGGTTCTGTACACTTGCTGCTCTCACAGAGGACTTCAGTTTGGTTCCTAGCACTCACATGGTTACTCACAATCATCCATAACTAGTTCCAGTAGTTTAATTTGATATACTCTTCTGGCCTCCACTAGCACCAATAAGGAATGCAGTGCATACACATACATGCAGTTAAAATATGCATACATATTAAACAGACAAACAAACAAACCCAATAGGAACAATGTAGAATTTCAGTGGCAAAGAGGGGCTTTCTCCTTAGGCTCATTTTCAGGTGAAGCTTTGTACTGTCAACAGTTGAGTCTGATGCATAATATCTGGTTGTTATTTTGTTTATTCATGTTTTATAGATACACATGACTCTAATTAGAGGAAGAGGTCTTTTCATGAGTTATGTAAAAATTTATTAAAAAGTTCTCCCACAGAGTTCTTTTCAAAGAGTCATACAGATATCACCTTGAATGTACAAAAATAAATTGCATTAAGAAATGAATCTATAATTGAAGTTTTCTGATATCTATCCAGTCATCTCTTTCCTAAGTAAATCCATCTTGGCATGACATGCAATACTCTTCATTTGTTGCTTTTATTTTAATATACTATTAAACCATGACTATGTTTTTACACTGCTGCTGACATTCCTTTCTTATGTTTGATGTTGTTGTTTTGTTGGCTGTGGTGGGGAGCTTGTATTCACTTGAACAGTTAAATTGACAGGTTAACATTTTGTTCTTTTCTCTGAAAGTATTTCAGTATTTTACCTTCTCATCCATTATTAAACATTTGTAATAAACAAACACATCAAAAACTGATACTTTCTTCGTGAAAAAAAATTTAAGTGATTTTTATGCATCATTTATATTTTTCATTTGTATCTGAGGAAGTTTAACTTTTAATCTTTCTAGGAAAGTGGCTATTTCATCTAAATTTCCAAATCAATTGACATATGTTGTCTGTAACATTCTCTTATTCTTTTTAATCTCATCTCCATCTGCTCCTCTGGTCCCTTTCTGCTTTGTTGTTTACTATTGCCTTGTATGTTTATTTTTATGAATCAAGCTTTATGGAAGTTTTTCATCAGACAGCAGACTTTGGGCCTTATTAATTCTTGAGATCATGTCTTTATTTTCCATCTTATTAGCTCATGCTGAATCTCATCAATGTTTCTTTCCTTCCAGTTTCCTTATGTTTATTCTGCTATTCTTTCTTATCTTTTTCAGATGCATGCTATTGTCACCTAATTTTAACTTCCCTTCATTTCTAAGATTAACATTTACAACTGTTACTTTATCCTAAGTTATACCTGCTTCTACCTCAGGTTGTAATAATTTAATTATTATTAATATTTCTATGTTGATTGATTTTTTCACCTTGGTACACAGTTTAAAATTATATATATATATATATATATATAATATTTAAATATTAGATATACTAAATATTTAAGATATGCATGCTCCAGTTACTTTCTTTTTTATTAAATTTTTTAAATTAAAATGCGATTATATCAATTCTCTCCTCCCCATTCCTCTCTCCAAACCCTCACATGCCTCCCTTACTCCTTCTCTAATTCATGGTATTTCATGGCCTCTTTTTCTTTCATTGTTATTATCACTAACAATTTTTCTGCCTCCTCTTCCTCTGTTTCCTGAGACTGGGGTTCAGGAGTTATGTTGTAAGATATATCAGTTGGGACTGGGTACCACACAATCAGTTGTTCTTTGTATTTTGACCAATTGTCTGTTGTAAAGAGAAGATTCATTGTTGAGGCTTGAGAGCTATGTTATCTGTGGGTATAAGGATAGGTACTTAGAATTCACTTAAAAATTGTACTAGTTTAATAAAGTGACAATAGTAGGTTATTCTCTAAGATCTATGACCTCATTTGCACCAGGCAGTTGTTTACGTTTTTAGTATGAGACATGATTTTCCTTTTATTGAGTGTGTCTTAATTCCGATTAGATAGTTGTTCATTCCAAGCATGATAGGAGCGGCACTCTTCTACCTTTATTAGTATCATGCCATTCTGGCCGTTGATATGGTCCACAGGCATCCCAGTTGGATAGGGCTTTTAGTTGCTTCCCTTCTTTGGAAGTATGCATAGCACCTTATACAACTATGAAATCTTGTCCTCTGGAAGGGGGTTTTCAGGTCAGATCCACCTTTATTTAACACAATATATATTTGTTGTTGAATTGTTGAAATACTTCTGGCAATTTCTTTTTATCCTAATAATTATTTTAAATATTTTTTTATAATTAACTTAATTTCATGAGTGTCAAGTGTGCTTGAAATGAATGTATACCTGGTCATGTTAAAGATACACTTGATCGATGAATAACTATAATTATATAAATATATACATTTTAATGTTAGATTTTATACATGCCCTATGGATAAAGCTTGTCATTTGGGATGCTCAAATCAGTAGACTTAATTTTTTTATCTTTTAATTCCCAAGAGAGCTATGATGAAAAATCTCTCATCATTTCTAGTCAATTTCACCTGTATTTATTTTACTATTTATCTTTTTATGGAGTTTTATAGCATAACTACTTGGGTACACATAAATTCAGTGTTGATATACCTCTGACAACTAACTTTTCCAGTACATCAATGTCTTTTGATCTATTTTACATGACATTGGTATGGCCACAGTTCTTTTCATTTGTTATTTTCAATATATATTTTTCTATTCTTTCACTTTCAATATTCTTGGGGACTAAGTCTCTTCTGTAAAATAAAGCCTGTGTTTTCCTTTTTACTTTTTGTCACTGATCTTTGGCTCAAGCAGAGCATTTAGCCTACTTACTACATAAAGTAGTGACTGTTCATTATTCATGATGATGATTTTATCTTATAATTTAATGTTTTTGCTGTTATTTTCTTCATTATCTTTAAAATTATTTTCTTATTTTTATCCTTTGGCATTAAATTTGTTTGTTTATATATCTTCTCCATTTTATTTCCCTTGTATCAACTAGTACAGAATCTATATTTTGTATTATGGGAAACCATCTTCAAAATTTTGGTATTAACAAAATTTGTGGTTATGAATGTATTTTCTCTCTTCCCAAATAATGCTAGAATGTTAGGATGCTTAAATTCCAATTGATCTTCTGACTTACATGCCATTAGCGTTAAGAAAGTGACACTTCTTTTGGATGCATTTCTAATTTTATCCTGCATCTTAGCTATTCTCTTATCATTTCCTTCTTCATAAATCACATAATTTAGAAGAAATCTGGCAGCTCTTATAAGTTGAGTTTTTCTCCCTCTAATTAGGTTGAAGATCATTGATACTTCAGAACTTGACCTTATTTAAAGAGACATTCTTTGCAGATGGAATTAATCCTGCCATGCCCTTAGTGTTGAATAAACTCTTGGTGCAAAATGATAGGTATCTTAAAAGAAAACTGTTTAGGGCTCAGAATTACAAGAGGAAAATGCTGTGTGACCTTGGAGTTGAGATAGGAATTGCATTGCACAAGCCTTACAATACAAAGTGATATAGCAAACCCTCAGGATCTGGGATGCAACAAGGAATGATTATCACCCTCTAGAGAAAAATGGGAGATCATCTTGTTACTATATAGATTTTGAATTTCTGTCCTCCAAACCCATAAAGTAACATGGTTCTTCATTCTAAAAGAATACTAGTATGATGTCAGTTATTTCAGTTATATAAATTTAAAAGTTCCCTTATTATACTTTCCTTCTAGTTTTAGGATTTGAGCCCAGTCTTTAACAGCTGAGCCATATCTTCAGCCCTTGTACCATTTATTATTGATTATTATTATTATTATTATTATTATTATTATTATTATTATTATTATTTGAGACAGGGTTTCTCCGTGTAACAGCCCTGGCTGTCCTGGAACTCATTTTGTAGACCTGGCCTCAAACCCATAGAGATCTGCTTGTTGCTGCCTCCCAAGTGCTGAACTCAAAGGTATGCACCAACACACCTAAGCTTCTTTATTTTAAAATGATAGCTTTACCAAGTGTGTCATTCTATTCACTATTACACCCATGTTAATGAAGCCATCATCCTGTCTTCTGACTCCCTGAGTTAATTAATGTCATTTTGGTCTACTTATCTGTACATCAAGGAAGTCCATAGTTTTTACCTATGTTTAAAATCTAAGTACACACTGTAGTCCTCGTGATCAGTAAGTTTACTGTGTGACTGTGTCTCCCAGGAATGTGAGAAGCTGTGTCCGTAGTGTCTCACCACCATGATTACCTAACCATGAGTGGAACAAAGACACCAATAGGCATGCTGATGTGGACAGGGAAGCCCACAAGGCTTTGCTATGTATATTCTTTGACGCCACTCTGATGGGGCAGCATTTGAGTCTGTTGCCATTTATTTTGCTCAAATGTTTTAGCCTTTAAAAATTAAGATGTATATTTACATTAATTCTGAGAAATATGTATCAGTGTGTCAACTATCATTCTATGTTGGATATTTTGGAATTTCAAAGAAGTCTATTTCAGTCTTTCTTCTCCAGCTCCTGCACTTATTCATATAGTTCTTATGTCTTAGTCACTTTTGAAATGTGGTCACCCCTAAACACATGTATATATGAGCAAAAATAAATGGAATCAGCAGCTTGTTTATGTATATGTGTATATATGCATAAATATGTACATATGTATATAAATGTGTACATATGTGTTTATATATAAAACTAATAATTAAAGAAGAGGTCATAAATTTGAGTGGAAGTGAGAGGAGCACATAAGGGGAGAGAAAGATGGAAATTATTTATATATAGTACACACATATAAAATTCTCAAAAAATTAATATTTAAATTAAAAACAGAAAACATGAACAGCCAGATGAGATTGCCGTGGGGAAGAAATAGCCTCACTGTTGATATTGGAGCAATATTTTGGAGTAAAAGACCAGGAAAAGTTCTCTGACAGAACAAAACTTACTAATGATGGCTCGTGCATTCCAAAGAGGCTCAGAACTGAAGCAGGACAAGGTGCAGACAGTGCTCAATCGTACAAAATCCTGTGGCATCAGTTGGAAACAAGAAGCATGAAAACCAGGTCATCTGAGACTGATGTGAGCCGGACTGGGGAAACAGAGCAGCTCTGTCTCTTTAAGGCCCCGCTGGTGATGTCCTAAATGCATCTAAAGGACTCTCTCTGACTTCTCTTGATGTCTTCTGAAGAAAACAGGTATGAGCTGTATCATGGTGGCGCATCCCTTTGTTCCCAGCACTCAGGAGGCAGAGTCAGGTAGGCAGACCTGTGAGCTCAAGGCCAGCCGTTCTACAGCATAAATTCCAAAACAGCCAGGGCTACACAGAGAAACCCTGTTTTGACTGCAGCCCCCCCCCTCAAAAAACAGCAGGTATAATATTTTTGAGAATAGGTAGGGAGGGTAATCCTGACCCCCACTTGAGAGTATCTGGAAGTCCAGAGGAGCCCTCTCTTGAACCTGTCAGTGAAGAGAAAGTTGACTTCGTTTATTGAAATTTTATTTCCTCATCTCATTAATGATTTTTTTTTTTTTTTTTTTTAGGACACTGTCACTAATCCTGCTAGCAACCTCTGTGGGAGCATCCATGTTGCCATTTTCCAGCTCTTCTTGTCCAGGCCTAAAAGAAGGAGTGATGCTTAGATGAGAAGATCTCTCTAGACGGTCCTCTGCATGGGGCTTTTGAGAAATTTTCATTTCTGACTGTGATGACCACTGCACCCTTACCCTGCCCAGGCATCAGGGCCTGTGTCCTACACCCTGTTGGTGGTTTCTTACGTATAGGCCTTGGGTTAGCTATGGGATCTCCAGATTCTACCTGACCAAACACTGAATCCAGTCCCCCATGCTTGATATGGGGATTTTGCTTTTATTCCATTCCTGACCTCCAAGGAAATGTCCTTCACACCAGATCAGCTATACATTTAATTTTCAATACACTTTCATTTTTCTAGTAATTTTATAATGCTTCACCTGAAGGTATACTTACTCTAAACACTTAATTTGGCATGTTGCCAGAAATACAAATTCCATTTGCATTGCTACAATATCCTTCAGTCAATAAAACAGAATAACCCAACAATGAAATCCATGAACATCGGACATGAGCTTAGTTAAAGACATATTGAAAATATAAATGGTATTTATATCATCTTTTTCAATTTCTTTTACAGAGATAATTGCTATTTTGAATATATTTTGTATTTTCCAACCTTTGTACTATTTAATGATATCTTTTCAGGACATATTAGCATAATAAATATTTTTAAAATTCATATGAAAATTATAGGGATACCATAACCTTCTGTTTTCTCCAACTCAGTGTTATTTTTGTGCATGATCTTTAATTCTTCATATGGATGAATATTCCCTTGGGAGACTTTATTTCACAGCTTATTCTTTTTCTCACAGAGGACAATTACATCTCTAAACTTTTGCTGTTATGAACAATACTGCAATAAAAATTTAGGATGTTTGTGAGCTTGTTGTTGTTTTTCTAGTACATACCTAAAATTTAGATTTTATATGCATTCATAGTTTTACTGGAATAATCCAAGTTTCTTTCTAAGCTCATACTCACAGCTTATATTCTCAGCACTTTCTTGCAAATTTCCTTGAAATTCAGGTTTCTCTGTTTGTGAAGTATTGTTTTAAAAACTGTTTTTGAGATTTCTATTCTATTTCAATGTATATTTCGTATTTTAGTATGACTTAGCTGACCTTTTGGAAATATAAAAGTTTCCATTCCCATTACTGAAGCACTGAGGAGTTGCCTTCTCCCATCAAAAGGAGCAATTGATGAGGTTTCTTAGTCAATCTTTGTGCTTATTGGTAAACATTGATTTACCATGATTGTGCTATTTTCACATTTTCATTGTTACACAGAATTGTTAGTTTATGTTTTGTACTTACATGAGGGTTTCTTCACATATAACAAGAGGCAATCATCTGCACAAAAGTACTCAAAGAATGTGGACCAAGTTATAGAAAAAGGCAACCAGTACTATAAAATTAGTTGGAAATACAAATTGTCTAGATAAAAATGGAAAATGAGACATCCTTGAAATTCCATTTGATTTTAACACATTAATTTTTGGACACATTGCCAAATTTGTTTTATTTGGAATATATAGGCTGAATGGAAAAACTATAGACGAGATTATAGACTATAGATAGTAAACAAATATTTCTACCTAACAATATTTTCAATAATGGATTTTCAAATGAAATATACTTAATTTCAGTATTTTCAATATTTCAAGGAGATTTTCATCGAGTGTGGAACTCAATATTCAGTGGATTGTCTTTAGGACAGATAACAATTACAAGTATCAAGCTGAGATTAAATAAATATAATATGAATGAACATTCTTTCCATAATACTCTACAATCTATGGTTCATCTATGATAATTTTGCTTCAAAACTTTATAGCTTCAAAACACATATTTGAAATTTTACACAAAGGAATTTTTATGCCAGAGTTAGAAAAGGGACTTATTTGCAGATGTGAGCTGAAAGTGAAAACTACTCACTGTCATTATTGACTCTTACAGTTTTGCAGCCCCAAGTAATTAGCCCTTGCATAGTGCTGAAGTCCCCTTTGATTTAAATATCAAATTAAAAAGGGGACAAATGTGTTGCTATATACAGCTATGCCATAGTCAGTGTTGTGTGATGTATTTCACTATCACTGATCAGAGATTTAAGCTCATTTCTAGAGGTTAATTATAAATTTTACACCTATAGTTAAAGTGTCAAAATCTGCCTTTTTCAGTCCTGAAGAAAATGAGTCTTTTTCCCGAGGGTACCTTGGTCAGCTTGTCACTACAAAGAATGCTTTTCTTTCTACACCCTATAAGAGTAGAAGGAAAAATGAAAATAGATTATTACAAATGAAATTTTAGGTCTATTTTTTCCATGATTCTTATCACCATATCAATTTCTCTTATTATAACTTGAATAAAACTATAGATGGACGTGTTGGTTCAAATAGAAAGTGTTTAAGAAACCATAACCAACAAACCCATAATACTCTCTCTTTCCAATTTATACAATTCTCTCTACTCATGGTAAGCAATGAAAAATAATATATATGTTTAATTTCTCTATTAATATAAAAGCTGTAGAGAGACAATCTATGAAGCAACAAAAGAAAGATTAATTCAGTAAGTAAAGAGTCCAAAATGTAATACCAGGGATGTCAAAGGTAGACAATATTTTATAATCTAACTTGAAGGTAGAATCTATGATAGTCAAACTCATGGAGGAAGAATGTTGAAAGGTATGTACTGAATATTTAAGTAGAGGTTAGTAACATTAGTCAAAGTATATGAAATTTGAATTAGGGAGTAGGAATAAACTTAAGAGAACCATGTAAAACATTGTAACTATAGACAGTGCCAGGGGATTGTGTATCTGGAAATCACTTGAAGACTAAATTTAAGAGTTTCTACTAAACACAAAATTGATAAGTGTTTGAGATAATGCATGTTAGTAGACTTGCTTTTATCCATTCCTCAGTATTTACATACAATATTCAAAATACTGTGTTTCTCAGATAAATACAGTTTTCATTTCTTAGTTTTGTAGTAACATAAATGCAATATCGTATCCAAGCTCATATAGAACAATTTTAATCTCAATACACAAATCTAACTAGGTACCGATGACTTTTTAATGGAGGAGAAATTAATTGTATCATTTCATGCATTTCTTGAGGCTCCCTGTTGGGGATCATGTCTTTAAAATCAAACAGAAAATTTTAAACTAATACATCTCAATATTTTTGCTCAATATTAGTAATAGTTTTCATGAGATGGAACTTTGTATCTGTTTGAATATCTAATCCCAGAATAATATATTTATCTATATTGTTGTAACTTATTATGTAAATTTCCATGAAAAAATATATATACTAATAAGATATATAAACTAATGTTTTGCTAAGATAGAAAACTGTATTGTTATATATTTTCTGCTAAAAATGTGACAAATATTTGTTTTTATACTCTAAGGAATAATTATTAACTGTATTTTATAAGAAACACTGTTATAGGTTATATTCTGGTACGAATTCTGATTATTTTCTAATGAAACTTAAAAGGTAACCAATAGAATATATATCTGGAAAATATATAGAAGATTTAATATAAAAATTTAACATTATTAAAACAGTGATATCTATTTATTAAATTTTTTCCTTTAACAATTAAAATAAATTATGTATTAAAGGGATTTACTGATTTCTTCCCATTTTTTGTTTGACTTTTCCTCGATTTCTTTAAGGGAATTTTTCATTTCCTCTTTTAAGATCTCTAATATCTTCTTAAAGTCATTTTTATGGTAGAGATCTTGTGTTTCCTCTATGTTGGGATGTTCAGGTCTTGCTGATGTAGGTACTGATGGAGCCATATTGGTTTTTATGTTGTTGACTGTATTTTTGCACTGGCATCAACCCATCTCTTTCTCCACTTGGTGCAAGTGGTGTCTGTGTCTGAGGGAGCCTCTCTTGGTCTGATTGATACTCTTGATGCAGTGGGAGTTCTTGATCTAGTCGATGCTGATGGACTTTTTGTCTCAGGGATCAGCTCTTAGTCCACTTGGCACTATTGGGCTCTGTCTCAGGGAGTAGCTGCAGTCTTACCGTGTGGTAGATGGTGGCAATCTGACCTGTCTGCAGGTGTCTGCCTGTCAACTTGCCTCTTAGTCCAGTTGGGTGCTGGCAGGCTCTATCTCAGGGAACAATTGCAGTCTTGGAGGGTGGGTGGGATTTGGGGGAGGTGGGGCTTGGGTTACAGGATCTGATGAGGGATGGAAGTAGTCTGACCTATGTGCAGGAGGTCTGCCTGCCAAGTGGCCTGAAACTGGAACTGCAATGGGTGAGGGTGTAAGGGCACAGGGTTGTGCCCCTGGGCCCGAAGCCTAGGGGCTGGGGTGTTCGGGTATGAGGATAAAGACTCACCTCTTAGTCCAGTCGGGTGCTGGCAGGCTCTGTCTCAGGGAACAGTTGCAATCTGGGAAGGTGGGTGGGACTTGGGGGAGGTGGGGCTTGGGTTCCAGGTCTGGTGGGGGATGGGAGTAGTCTGACCTCTGTGCAGGAGGTCTGTCTGCTAACTGGCCTGAAACTGGAACTGCAATGGAAGAAAACCCACAGAATCAACTAACCTGGGCTCATAGGTTCTCACAGAGACTGAACCGACAACCAGGGAGCCTGCATGGGACTGACTTAGGCCCTCTGCATATATGTTACAGTTGTGTAGCTTTGTTCTCCTGTGGGACTCCTAACAATGTGAACAGGGGCTATCTGCGGTTCTTTTACTGGGTTTGGGGACCCTATTCCTCATACTGGGTTCCCTTGTTCAGCCTTAATACATGGGGAGGTGCTTAGTCCTACTAAAACTTGATATGCCATGTTTTGTTGATACTCCTGGGAGACCTGTCCTTTCCTAAACAGAAACAGAGGAGTGGATTGGGGGTGGGAACAGAAGTATGGAGTGGGGATGGCGGATTTGGAGGAGAGGAGGGAGGGGAAACTGCAGCTGGGATGTAAAATAAACAAACAAATAAATAAATAAATAATTTATTAAACTACAAAAAATCATATCTCTGTATTTTTAAATGTCAGAATGTCACTCAAGCCTTTAAAATTTCCCAAATGAAAGAAACTTAAAAAGTAAAGCAGTTTACCAGCTGTAATTATATTTTATTAATGTAAAACCATAAAACTAGCTCCTATACTATCCAGAGTTACCATGAAATCTTCCAATGGAGAAAATCAATCAGTAGTCCTACCCAATTCTGATACTTAGGAATCAACTTAACTACCCATGGGTTGTGAGGCCAGGGTCCCTCCCTAGGCAAGAGGCTACTACTTCCACTGCCTTAGACTAGTGTAGTTTTAAACTACATTCTAATTACTTATCTTTATACATACGGATATATGTATTTCTCTTTCTCATCAACAACACAGATGATTGTAGAAATCCACAACTAGTCAACATGTAGAAAAGAAATGTCTATAAGAGCCCAACCTCAGGTGATGGTCTATAACACAACCTCTACACCTAAAGCTCAGGGAACAATATGGGAAAGGGTACAGAAAGAATCAGAGGACCCAGGGCATCCACTGTGAAATACAGACTTATCTAGGACAGAGAAACAGAACCTAATGTAGTCACCTAAACAAGACCTTCACAAAGACAACACCAGTTGGCCTGCTAATGTGGACTGGGGAAATTTCACATCTTCCCCTAGAGGAACAGCTACAGACAAAAGGGACTCCCAAGACAGAATCAGTCTTCTACTGCAACAAGCTACCAGAAAGGCTATCAATTCCAAGTGTAAGCCCTACACATACACACATGCAACACTAAACACTCTGTGTGTGTGTGTGTGTGTGTGTGTGTGTGTGTGTGTGTGTGTGTATGTGTAGCCATAACTAAAGAAGACATCATGAGTTGAAAAGGAAGTAGGAGTTGGATGGGACATGAAAATAGTTGGAGGAGGAAGAAGGAGGGTGAATATAGCATAAATACTGTATTCTCAGAAGACTTTAAATTAAAATAAGTTCATACCATATTTTTGTTACACAGAATATAGTAATATCATATTATATATGATAAAGATTCAATGTAATGTATAAAAATTGAAATGTACACACAAATAAGTGAATGATAATTATAAACCAAAGCACCTTTACATTACATAAATCCACTGTTTGGAAAGGTCACTGTGGGTTCAAGTTTTGGCCAGCATGTGTGATTTTGTCATCAACCAGCTCTTCACAACAGGTCCAAGTGAAATAAATGTCCTAGAGAATCTCTGGGAAATTAGACAACTCCTCTACTGCCAAAGTCCAGATGAATCATTTCCCAAAGCTGGGACACCCTGGGAGAGCCCTAAAGGCTGAGAGCTCCTGTGCTTCTGGGTTGCACCCAGAGAGCATGGTGCCCCAGCCCCCAGCCCCTGCAATGCCTGCTGAACCCCTCATACGCAACAGACTCGAGAGTACTTTATGCTTAATATGTCCTTTCAGAAAAGTAAAGATTCCATTTCCTAGCCTGTGCTCTACCCTAAAACATAGGTTCCAAGGAGTTTTATGAATACCATGAGGGAGAATTGTTCAATAATTTCAATTAAAGAAGGAATCCGCTTTGCTAAAATTTTGAAATAAATTTTACAGTATAATTAATATAATTCTGAATAACAAAAGGAGGTCCACTCTGACAAAGGAGGCATTTTCACCTTTATTAAGTAATAAATATATGCTTTCCATAATGTGTAATTATGACCATTCCTTTTCCATGATCCTTCTCCATTAGTCCCTTGGCACAGTCATCTAATCATTTCTCCAGACACTGATATGTGTATTTCCAAATATGTGTCATGATTCATGGTATTATTAAACTGTTTATTTTATTTATTTGTATGTGTGCTGTCCCTTTCTGTAGTTGACCTTCAGAAGAACTTTTCTACCCATTATATCCTTGAGTTTGCAACAGCCTTTTGTTTTCCAAAATCAGGAAGCAGAACTTTTGTTAGAAACTGCAGAGGGATTGTTGAGACCTCACTAGTAAAATTTGTTGAGGCTAAAGATAAAAGTATAAAGACAAGGAATAATAGGGAAAAATCCAAACCCCTATCTGATGAATGCTTCTGAAAAAGTCAGTGATTCAGATCTATCTAACCTGAATGGACCAGTAAGGAAGTAAATAAGAGGTTTATTTTTTTATGTGCATAGCCATTTATCTCAGTATAAATTAAACAGATACCACTGGGAAGAAGAGAGGAGTAAAATTTCCATTTCATCTATTTTAAAACAGAATGATACTTTTGACAGGAAAAGTACCAAAGCAGTATTACACTCCTTACCATCCATGAGAAAGCACGAGGCTGCTTTCACTTCTGTTGGTTTGAGTGAGTAGGCACTTTTCCCCTAAACTGGAGGTCACAATTGCTTTTGAATTTTGGCTTGAAATAAGATAACAAATGTTGCCTAGGGCTTTGAGGGATGCCTTTTATACCTGAATTAGATGAGGTAGTTGGAAACTGTTACAAATCTTTTGTTATTTTGTTTGGTAAGCTGTAAAAATCAAAAGCAACACACAGAGATATAGTGCCTTTAAAAAGTTAGAATTTTACCATATAGAATCCTATGTTATTAAGTTTATTTAGGTAATGAATAGAATTCCCCATTGTCTATCAGGAATTTTTTTTTAAAAAATCACAGGTTTGGCTACAATAGACTTTGTTTAGTGCAAAATTGGTTAAGTGTATAAACTTCAATGTTACTAGAGAAGAAAAAAGTTGAATTTTCCCTTTTCATTGGAAAAATTCATGTTAATTATTCCTCTGCACCTGCCTAATGGGGCTGAAGTAATTCGATTGTCATATTGTTGTAGATTGTTGCTTTGTGTAATGTATCACCCCTGCTGTTCCATTAAAAAATTCTATACTCTTCCATTATTCAGCAAGGCCTAATGATTATTCCAGCATTTGTACATGCTGCACTGTTATTTTGATTTTAATTGACTTCACTTTTTTAATTAAGCACATTGGTTTTAAAACTGTTGTTGACAAGCAAGATTCCGTCATTCTCAGTATCAGCTTCTATGTGCCTTCCACAACTACTGACTTTCACTTAGACTCATTATAAATGATAGGAATATGGACACAGAGGTTTGTCAACTGTAACATGAATTCAGGTCCCATACTATTCATATACAGTGGCCTTCAGAAACTTTTAAAGGTTAAAAATTCTGTGTAAGACATCTTTTAAGGTAGAATTTTAAGCCTTTGGGTTGAAATTTTAAAATAGACTTGTCTGTTTTGTACATGTCTGACAATCTTTCAACTGGAAAAGCTGTGCTTTACTTCATCAAATACAGTCAGCTATAATAAACACATACAGTGACATAATACTGTCTGTGCTTAGTGGGACATAAAATTACAGTCTCTATATGTTTGAAATAATAGTCAATCATGATGCTTCTCTATTGTGAAAGATAATTGTTTTATTCTGTAAATTATTTAAAGATTTGTACACAATTCATTAAAAGTATTAAAGTATTTTTAAATTATTTATTTACCATAGACATTATATTCTTCCAAGTAGAGTGTAGTACTCCAAAATAAAATAACCATA